TTAGGGGAGGGGGGTAGCGACAAGAGCAGCCGCCTGCTCAAGATGGAGGAGACGCTGCACAACCGCGTCATTGGCCAGGACGAGGCCGTCAAGGCCATCAGGTGGGAACGTGTGCCTGTGAGTGTGCGCCTGTCAGTGTGCGCCTGTGAGTGTGCGTCTGTGAGTGAGAAGGATTGAGAGCAGCCGCCTGCTCAAGATGGGGGGTCTGCGTTTGTGAGTATGGGGTCTGCGTTTGTGGGTGTGGGGCTGAGAGTGTAGATCCCCAATCAGCCTGTCACCTTCTCTTTCTCATCTGATATGCCATCACCACCCCCCCTCCCCCGCCGCCCCCCTTCCCCACTCCCACCCACCCACCCACCCTACCCCGGCCCCGCCCCCGCCCTTCGCCCTTCGCGTTCTCTGACCTCGTCCCCCCTGCTTCCCGCGCCTTCTTCCCGTCATCTCCCCCTCCTGCAGTCGCGCCATCCGCCGAGCGCGTGTGGGGCTGAAGAACCCCAATCGCCCCATCGCCAGCTTCATCTTCTCTGGTCCCACCGGTGTCGGCAAGTCCGAGCTCGCCAAGTCCCTCGCCTCCTACTACTTCGGCTCCGAGGAGGTGAGGCTCGTGTGATGTGGTGATGCTGTGAGGCGCACAGGAGGTGTAGAGGGGTTTTTTTAGCTTGTGAGGCGACTCAAAGGTATCCGAGCTTGTTAAGTCCCTCGCCTTCTACTACTTCAACTATAGGTGAGACGCGCTGGGAAGGAGTGAGGAGCCCTTTGAAGGAGTGAGGAGGTGTGGGGAGGTGAGGAGCCCTTTGAAGGAGTGAGGAGGGATTCTCGCTTAGTGAGGCTCCATAGAGATACCCACCAAGTCCTGCGCTGCCCACTACTTCGTCTCGGAGGAAATGAGGCGCTTTTGGGAGGAATGAGGCAGTGTGAGGAGGTGGGAGGAGGTTAGGGGGCCTTGAAAGAATTGAGTGAGTTGGCAGGGGGTTATTGGGCAGTGAGTTGGCAGGGGGTTATTGGGCAGTGAGTTGGCAGGGGGTTAAGGGCCGCGCTTGTGTAATGCCTGTGGAAGAGGCTCAAGGGTGATGTGCTGTTTCAAAGCTCAGTTATTGACAACCCCCCCCCCCCCCCCAACACTGCCCGTTCTCCCAACCCCCCAACCTTTGGGTCACTCTCCCCCTTAGACGTTTCTTTCTCAGGCCATGGTGCGGCTGGACATGTCGGAGTTCATGGAGCGCCACACGGTGTCCAAGCTCATTGGCCGTTCATTCACACACGCACTCTGTCCCAATCATCCCCACCCTTTTGTCCCTTCCCACCCTATCCCCTTTCTCCCAGGCCATGGTGCGGCTGGACATGTCGGAGTTCATGGAGCGCCACACGGTGTCCAAGCTCAATGACTCAACCATGCATGCCGTCCTGCTCCCAACTCCCCGTCCTCTTTGCTCTCTCCCTTGCCCCAATCCCCTTCCCCTCCCCAGGCCATGGTGCGGCTGGACATGTCGGAGTTCATGGAGCGCCACACGGTGTCCAAGCTCATCGGCTCACCCCCCGGTTATGTCGGGTACAGTGAGGGCGGGCAGCTGACGGAGGCTGTGAGGCGGCGGCCGTACACGGTGGTGCTGTTCGATGAGATTGAGAAGGCCCACCCTGACGTCTTCAACATGATGCTCCAGGTACGTGGTGGGCAGTGATGCTCCATATACGGTGGAAGCATGGGATATCTCAAGAATTAGCTAGTGGTGGGAAACAGTTAGGCGCGGCCTTACATTGTGCTGCTGATTGTCGATGTTGAGAAAATATGAATAGGGACCAAGTATCCACTCGTTCAATGACAATGCACCACTCCATTCCCCAATTTTTGGGCGTGTCTTGCATCAGATTCTGGAGGATGGGCGGTTGACGGACAGCAAGGGGCGCACGGTGGACTTCAAGAACACGCTGCTTATCATGACCTCCAATGTTGGCTCCTCCGTCATTGAGAAGGGCGGCGGAGGCATCGGCTTCCAGGTGGGTGGTGCCATATAGACTTAGTGCCTCGAGAGAAAACACTTACACCCTGCTGGTGCCTCTGCACTTTCTTGTTTTTTGTTTTTTTTTTAAGGCATTCAAACCCAATGGCTCACTCTCCCCTGCCCTGTCCCTATCCTTCCCCTAATTTATGTGTTCTAATTTACACATTACAAGATTTACGCATCATTCGCCCATTCCACCCCATTAACTTTTTTATTTTTTCTCCAGCTGGACTACGGCGAGAAGGACACGAGTTACAACCGCATCAAGTCGCTGGTGAACGAGGAGCTCAAGCAGTACTTCCGCCCCGAGTTCCTGAACCGGCTGGACGAGATCATTGTCTTCAGGCAGCTCACCAAGCAGGAGGTCAAGGAGATCAGCGACATCATGCTCAAGGAGGTGTTTGACCGCCTCACCAAGAAGGACATTGACCTGCAGGTGTGTGTGACTGTATAGCGGGGACAGGGGGGCGTGTAGGTACTATGTGTGGGTGGCTGTAGGGAGGAGATGGCGAGTTCCCGAACCGGCTGGACGAGATCATTGTCTTCAGGCAGCTCACCAAGCAGGAGGTCAAGGAGATCAGCGACATCATGCTCAAGGAGGTCTTTGACCGCCTCACCAAGGACATTAACCTGCAGGTGGGTGGGTGTGACTGTATGGAGGGGATAGGGGGTACAGGTGCTATGTGTTCGTGGCTGTAGGGAGCGGGGATGTGAGGGCGTGTAATGCAAGGGAGGTGAACGAGGTGAGCGACATCATGCTCAAGGAGGTGCATGATTGCCTTCTGAAGGAGTTGTCTCTGTTTCATGCTTCCTTGTCTTCCCTCTCCTCCCTCACTTCCCACCTTCCCTCCTCCATTTCTCTCCTCCCTTGTCCCTGCTTCTTGCCCCTCTCCCTCCCTGGGAGCAGGTGGCAGAACACGGTTGGTGGAACAGCCCCAGCTTAATCGTGGCTTGCTTTATTTTCATCATTTCCCCTTTGGTGTTGTGTTGTGTCCTTCCTGTGAGCAGGTGACGGAGCGCTTCAGGGACCGGGTGGTGGATGAGGGCTACAGCCCGAGCTACGGTGCCAGGCCGCTGCGACGAGCCATCATGAGGCTGCTGGAGGACAGGTGAGGGGTGTGAGAGGGCGTAGGACAGGTGATTGCCCGATACATCGTGCTGCACGAGCGTTTTTTATCTGCTGGCCGAGGTAATCCGTTCTCTGTCTCTTGCTGCATTTCTGAAGTGTTGTCTTGTGTTGTTGGAACTGTGGCAGCATGGCGGAGCGCATGCTCTCTGGGGAGATCAAGGAGGGAGACAGTGCTATCATTGACGTGGATGCTGATGGCAATGTTACTGTTCTCAATGGCAACACTGGCACTGCCACTTCCACGGTCATTGAAGCCCCTGCTGGCATTTCTTAGATAAACTGCTCTGCTGCTTGTTGTTGGGGTCTTAATTTGAATCGTGTTAACCCTTCTTTATTTAGGATCTTCTGCTCAAAGTTGCCTCTTGTTTACATTCTTACAAATTGTTGTGTGAACCAAGTCTTGCCAGAAGATGTATTGATGGTAGCTACACCTGTATTTTGTGTACGCGATACAGCACTGGACTTCACATTGTGGGAAGGAACAAGTATCACCGCCAGCGGGGGAGGTGGAATTTGCGTCGCTCTGCTGTCCTGATCCCACTTCGGCGCGCAGTTGAAACGATCTATCCTACGTGGAACCTGCATGCGTGTCCGTGTCTTCACGTAAGCTATTGGTGCAACTTACACCACTTTTGATTACATGGCCATTGCTTGTCACTGAACCTGGTTTGATCGTGCCAGCGATGCATATTGATTGGTTCAATCCAGGTCACGAACCGCATTCTCAGCTCCTCTTCGATGAGCGACGCCAGCATCACATCGAAACCTCCTCCTCGTTCTAATTTCTTCAGCAAACTTTGCTTGGGAATTGGCGGCACAGCTTTGGGGATTCTCTAGGGCTCTCCGCCTATAAATACCATTTTACAGAACTGGCAAATCAGTCTGCATTCGTGTCTGGAAATTTACTGCCAAACTTCTCCAAATACTGCCTTGTCTTTGATATTCTCGCTTTCTCGATTTCTAGTCATGGCTGACAAGGAGTGCACCTGCGGTACTGGATGCTCCTGCTCTACTGGCGGAGCCTCATGCGGATGCGGGGCTGGATGCAAGGCCGGGCCTAGCTGTTCCTGCAAGGTAGGTCAATCAGCTGAACCCTCTTCGTCTTATAGAAATTATTTTCGAAAATCCTCGTTTTGCTGTGTTGCGTATGCCTTGATTTTGTACCTCGCCATGCCGCTAATATTCAAAATTGTCATCCACCTTTCAGGGCGGTGCTTCCTGCGCTTGCGGCGAGACTTGTGCATGTGACTCATGCTCCTGCGGGGAAGGGTGCGCCTGCAAGACTCGCGCTTGCGCATCTGGCGGTGCCTGCACTTGCGGCGACGGATGCGGTTGCGGCGCAGGATGCAGCTGCAAGAAGTAGGAGTCTGAAGATACGTACGAGGTCTGAAGAGTTAATTCTTCGCCGGGCAATGCCTTTGTTCCGACGTGTAGATACGTAATCGACCTGTGGGTTCGCTTGTTTGATACCTTTTTTGTTGGAAAGGAAACGTACATGAGAAATTGGTTGACGATTCAACACAGGTTCTCGTTCCACCATGGCACTACTCTCCAAATGGTACTGTAATGGTTCTCGTTCCACCATGCTTGGATGCTAAGATGGTGAGGTTGAGATTCTGAGTCTCAGATTCGGAGGTTAATGTGCTTTCTGAGCGTGTGACACGTATGCTCAGTTTGTTTTGGAAACTTGTAAGCACATCAATTATCAATAATATTCTTCCTGTAAATAGTCAGGCACTATCTCTGAATAATGTTGTACAACAATTCGCTCCAGGCGTGCTCAGGGCCTGGAGAGCAGTAATGCAAGCAGTCAGTCTTCTGCTCCGTGATCCTTCATCCGGCCTGAGTGCAGTCATGAGCTCAAAATAAGCCTAGTACTCAGGCACTATTCTCTGAATAATGTTATACAGGAACTCGCTCCAGGCATCCTCAGGGCCTGGCGAGCAGTAATGCAAGCAGTCAGTCTTCTGCTCTGTGATCCTTCCCCTGTGCCCATCCGGCCTGAGTGCAGTCATAGGCTCTATATCCATAAACACAGCTCCCATCTCCTCTACCACCCCTCTCAGCAGCTCATTCTGCCGCTTGAATTGCCCCCACCCAAACGGGAGCGTTTTCGGGTCCTGCCGCTGCTTGATGGGTCCTGTTGCATTCGTGCAGCCCATATGCCCCGGGGCAGTTGACCGGAACACCACCAACTTCTCCGGGTGATTCTGCCGGACAAACTGTAACGTGCGTCGCACCGCGGTTACCAGTCGCTCATCGGTCGCAGCATGAGCTCCCCTGTTAATCACCAGCACGTGAGAATTTGCAATCCCCGGGTCGTCAAGCCACGGCATGTTTTTCCACCACAGCCGCTCGTCCTTCTCCGAATCCACCGGCATGAGCCTTTTATTGAATACAAAGTGTAGCTCCAGCCCGGAGCATCCGAGGCCGGTGAATCGCTCATGACAGTACCCGGTGTGAGTCCCGAGCCAGGGCATGCATTTCCGAAATGTGACGGCTTTAAGCGCCGGTTTCGGCACGTGCTTGAGTATGTTGTTTAGGAAAGAGGTGTGCGCCTCCTTGGAGAGGGAGTCTCCTAGGAAAGCGATCCGAAGGCCGTCGTCTCGCAAGCGGGCCAGCTGACAGAGTGATCGCCCATCAAAGCGTGAAAACAACCCCTCACCCGCATCCCCAGCACCGGCACCAGCAGCAGCAGCAGCAGCAGCAGCAGAGTCAACAGCAGATTCACCAGCAGCAGTGTCATCATAATCTGTACCACTGTCCCCCGCTCCCCCTCCTGCCTCTCTCTCACTGTCCGGCCCAAACAGTGACCCGAACGCCCCAGCAGCAACAGCAGGGCATCGACCTCTCGGCACCACCCACTCATACTTCAACTCCTCCCTCACCCGCCACCGCTTCTCCGCGTCTGGCCCTCCCTGCCTCGCTATTTCGTCCGCTTCTGCAAACGCCACCCCCCCTTTGACCTGGTCAACGTGCCTGAGGTCGCAGTGGTCAACGGATTTCCAGTTCCAAGGCAGCGGTCGGGGGGTGGGGTTGTAGCGCCACTCCCCCCTCGTTGCCACGCAGGATAGCCACTGCCGGAATTCTGAGACGGCGTCGGCGCGTGGTTGAAGTCGTGACCCTGGGATTGTGTCTTGGAATCCTGGGAAGATGTTTGGTGGTGGTTGGGTGGTGGTGGGAGAAGCAGCAGTAGCGGTTGCAGCGGCAGCAGCAGCAGCAGCAGGAGGGGTGGCAGGTGGGAAGGCGGGGTGATGTGGCACGTTGGCTATGTCTTCCCATGCTGGCCATCCGCTGCGTACAGCTGTCATGACGATGCTGTACACCTCGCTGACGTGGCACTGCTCCCCGAGCTCGCGCTTGATCCGGCCCGGGTCGCAAGCAGACAAAAAGTGCCGCACGCCCGCCCGCTCCGCCAGGCGGTAGTGCCACGTGGCGGAGTCCTGTTGGCTGACGACCGACGCTTGAATACCAAAGGGCACAGATGCTGATGAAGAGGAGGAAGAGGAGGAGATGTTGGTGGTTGGTAGGAAAGGATAAGTTGCTGTGGTGGTCTGTGGGGCGGAGTAAGGGAGAATCTCAATCACTGTTGCATTGAACGGCAGGAAGATAAGATTCGAGAGCGCAGGCGAGGTGGGGCCCACAAGCAGCAGGGCGCGGGAGAAGAGCGCGCGGGCCTCTGTGAGAGGCACATGCTCGTCGTACACAACAACGCGGGACTTAGAGAAGATGTGCTGCAGGAACTTGATTATTGATTGCATGCCTTCTGCTGTTGCTGCTGCTGCTCCTTCTGCTCCCTTGCTTCCCTTTCCGATTCCCTGTCCTCCCTCCTCTCCTGCTTCCGCTGCTCCATCTCCTCCCTCCGCCCCCTCTCCGTCACTCCCCACCCCTCCCCCCACCCCTCCTCCTTCTCTCATAACGTGCGAGCTCCATACTAACGAGACCACCACCACCCAGTCCCTAGGCACGGACCGCCCTCCTAAGACTACGTTGTGACTGTAAGGGGCGGGCGGTTTGGGGGTCCAATCGGGGTTGAGGATGGGCAGGCCGCCACGTGGCAGCAGGTGGTTGGCCCGCAGCGCAAGCCAGAGCGCGTCGGGGCGGGACGGGCGGCCAGCGGCAGAGAGGCCGCAGAGACTGCTGACGTGGATGGGCTGGTGGTGGGAAGAGGAGCAGGGGTGTTGGGAAGGGGTGGGGAGGGGATGGAAGGTGGATGGGAAGGAATGATGGGGAGGGGATTGATAAGGGAGGAGGGGATGGGATAGAGAAGGAATTAGACAGGAGGTGGACGAGGTGAGAGACGGGGTGCTGGAGATCAGCTCACGTGGACGATAAGCAGAGCAGCAGAGCAGCGGAAGAGCAGCAAATGAGCACTGACCACGTAGAGCTGTTTCGCGAAGAAGAGGTGATCGCGGCTGTCCCCCAACAAAGGAGACTCGGGCGAAATGGCGAGGGACGAGAGGTCCGTACCGAAGACCCCCAGGCCCAGGTGGAACAGCACGTGGCGGTCGGCGAGCAGGAGGGGGAAGCGGCGCGCGGCGGGCATGAGGGAGGAGGAGAGGAGGAAGAGCACGGGCAGCAGCCGCGCTACCAGCCGCTCCTTGCTGTTGTGCAGCTTTGCTTGTGCCACCCACTCCCTCCCCTCGGGATTGCCGCCGTTTTGGCTGGAGTTACTCCCTTTTATTTGTTGCTCCTCTTCTTTCTCCTCTTCTTCGTGTCCTTCGTACGGCAGGAGATTTATCAGGTGGGGGTGAACAGTGACTCTGGTTCCAGGTGAGTAGGAGGGAACTTTCACCTGCTGCGGCTGCTGCTGCTGCTGCTGCTTCCATTGGCCGGACCCGCACCTATCAACGACGAACACGTGGCTTTTGTTGAAAACCAGGCCCTGCGCGTTGATGTACACGTCACGCAGCACGAGTATGCCACCTCCGTTGCTGTCCACGTCAGCAGCGGTCACACCTCCCGCCACCTGCGATGAAGCCGCCTGAGCAGCGCGGAGCGCGCTCAAGTCGCACGTCTCCTCCGCAATTCCCGCGTAGAACCACGCGCGCTGCCGCATACACTCGCTCTCCGCAGCCTCTCCTCCCTCCTGCTTCCACCGCAACCAGTCTCCCATGAATTGCGCCGCTTTTCCCGGGCCACCGAGCTCAGCCGAACCTAAGTCCGAGCCTGAAGATCCCAGACCAGCGGCCGTAGCTGAGTACGAGGGTGGGAGCGGGTCGCCCCATTGACAAGCGGAGACGACGGCGGAAGACGCGCCCGCCAAAGGCGGCGCAAATTCCGGGCAGAGCGGCAGACGCGGCTTGGATTTTGATTGGCCCGCTGAAGCCGCGAGCCCTATTCTCTTCGAGAGATAGTCTATCAGGCCAACTTGAGTTAGCGACTTTCCTAGAATACCCTCCTTTAGCGTGCCTCCACCTTGCGTCCTCTCTCTACTGCCCGCATTCCGCGCCGCGTTATCCGCTGCTTCCCGACGGCTTTGAGCGGCGGCCTGTAGGTTTGCTACCGGGGGTTTGGATGCCGTCACGGCGACGGGTCTATCGCCGCCGTCAATCACGGCCTGGTGTTGCGGCTCCGCCGCCGCTACAGGCCGCTCCAATTGGATCTTGCCACGTCGGCCGTCAGCGCCAGCTTGGAGTCTCCGACGTGGCAGTACGAGGCTGTGTGGGTGGCGGGTCTGTGCCAGTGGTTGCGACGCGGTCCGAGGCGAGTCGGCATAGGCGCCATTGTCATGCGTGCTGCAGACTGCTAGTAGATGCGAGGGAGGTAGCAAGGAGATTAGAACGAGGGATGTGAGGAGGAATCGCAATAGATCGAAGCTTGTGAGACTCATTCTGGAGGATATGGTCGGACACGTTATTACTAGTGGGCAAAGGCTCGAGTCTCGCGCACGGCTGCGTTTTGAGTCGAGTCAAAAGTCGGCTCGAGTGTCGCGCACGGTTGCGGGCATTAGAGAGGACGAGTAGAGATGCAGACCCCTGGGCTGAGATAAAATTTCCGAAGAAGTTGATTAGGCGTGAAAGTGATGCATCTGGTACCCCATGAAAATAATCGCTCACAAGGGCAGCCGATGTCTAGTTAAAGCCTTCGATGTGAGTTGTCCGTGGTGTGGTTGAAGACTACACCAACGCGAGAATGCAGGAACTAGTAAACTGCACGATCAACAAGCCTCTTATTTTAGGTTCGACGAGTTGACCGCGTGCAAACGACACTTGCCTATGCTCAAGCCTATGCTCAATAGCAGGGAGTGAGGGGGGCACTTTGGGCAAAACTAGAGGCGTCGTGACGTGACTAGTGACAGCATGTGAGGTAGGTGATTGACGATACCATGTGAGGAAAGCATTCAGGGAGGCGATTCGAGGGGTGGAGGTCCTGTGACTGCCGCGAGGCAACTTGGCGAGGAGGTTAGTGTAGGGTAACTCGGAGGTGGATCTTCCCATTGGTGCAGCGCGAACCGCGTTTTGATGGTTTAGAGAGGTTTTGGGCGTGACGAAAAGTTCCAGGCTGGCGAATCTGAAGGATGCATGGAGTGGTGTAACACAGGGGGAGAAAATTGATCGCGACAGGGGTCTCAGGTTGTGTTGCGCTGGCGAGTGGCTGCCATACTCCTCCAGTCAAGCTGTGTCAGGTGATCACTTCGCAAGGCCCAACGCCTAGCCCAGTTTCATTTCTTAAATAATCATATCTGAATAAACGAAAGGTGCAAAAGAAGTGATGTTCCGTTACAGAAGCTTCACCATCGGGGACAAGATCGTCACATTTTCCAACCATGAACACCTTCGCAATACCAGCGTGGCAGGCCTCTGAATCCAAAGGAGCTCCACCTGGCAGCGTGACCTGGATTCGTCACCATTTCAGCCCTTGAATCCCGTCGACCTCCCAAAAATTGCCACGTGAAGGCATATTCGTTAGCGTCACACGCACTCGTCGCACACAAAACACTTCCCAGGGCGGATTTGAATTTTGACGGCTTTTAGCCATCCATAGAGCGGCTAGCGTCGGGTGTACCAGGAGGATCGCAGCAAGTCACTCATCATACACCAAGCGCAGCAACACATTTGAATAATCGCAGCACATTCATTCTGCTGCAAGAAGGCAGTCCTGAGAGTTTACATTGAATCTAGTCGTCTGACAGTCGCCATCTCTTCAGGGGTACCCTATCTGCCTACTCCCCGCCATCCTCACGTTACCCTTCAAATAACACCGCCTCCAGGTCAGTTGCGATCCTCCTTCGCCCCAATCCCAAGATTTGAGCAGCTCTTTCGAAAAAGGTCGTTCGTCGCGTCGGACTTCGTGTCCTAATCCCCTCGGTCGTCGTGCCGTAATCGCGTCGCTCGCCTGGTCCTAATCTTGTCGTCGCTCCCAATGGCTGTGTCCAGAATGGCGGCTCTCTCCCTCGCGACTTGCACGCGCGTCGCCTCGCGGGCCGCCATGTCCGCGCTCAGGGCGCCGGCTCCCGCGTTGGGGTCCCTGCAGACGGCGGCCATTGCGCCGCTAAAGGCGGCGAGCTTCAGCGGCCATCAGATGATGCAGCGACCCACGTGGTCCCTCACCAGGTACTGAAGGTTGCTCATAATGCCGCATGTTTTACCAGGTACGATCGTTACTAGCATCCCTCCTCACTAGGTAGTAAAGGTTGCTCATATTGCATGTCTTACCTGGTAAAGGCTGCTCATATGTCTCATATTGCTCGTGTCTTACTGCCGTGATCATCGCTCTCCAGGGGACGGCCTTGATCGTTACTCACGCAGTGCTCACAGCCTTGACTGAAATACACAAGATTTCGTCTTGATACATGATTCTAAATAGGAACCTTCGAGGCATCCCAATTGGAGCGCTTGTAATCTTGCAGTCGTTTTGGAAATTTGGAGTGTTACGAAGCTTCCATACTGGTCCCTCGTGTCCCGCAATGCCCAATGTGCGCCGCACCTCGCGACAAGAGACGTGCCGTCCCCAGCGGACGCGAACTACGCGACGCGATCTCCTTCGCTGTCGCCATTCGTCCATCGCTCTTCGTGGCGCGCATTGAGCCGCCATGGCATTGAGCCGCTCAACAAATCGAACTCCCTCGGGAATAGATTCTCATGTCATCTTGTGCGTGCACCCCCACCCTCTCTCTCGAACTCTCCTTTACCCGCACTGCGCAGGTCGTTTCACCGCAGCCCCGTGCTGTGCGCGGAGCTCAGCCGCTGTGATTTAATTGGCTCGAAACACTCCCCTCTCCTCTTCTCCCTTCTCCCCCCCCCCCCCCCCGCGCCACTCCCCTTTCCTCCTTCCCCCCTCCGCACTGCGCAGGTCGTTCCACCGCAGCCCCGTGGTGTGCGCGGAGCTCACCCGATCGCTCAGCCGGTCGCCGTCCGGCGAGTTCGAGACGCTCGAGTACCGCCTCTTCTTTCAAAACGACCAGGGCGAAACCGTGAGTATACTGCCACGTATTGACAATCATGATGCACTGTATCGAGTGCGCTCCGTATCGAGTTCGAGACGCTCGAGTACCGCCTCCTCTTCCAGAACGACCAGGGCGAAACCGTGAGTACCGTTTTGGAAATATCACGATATTTCGCTCTGTCTGTATTGAGTTTGAGTCCCTCGAGTATCTTTTCTTCTTCCTATAGATAAAGGGCGAAACCGTGAGTGTCATCCTACGTCTGATACTGAGGATCATGAAGAACTCTGTCGAATACGCTCTGCATCGAGTACGCGTCTTGTGCTGCCAAACGCACTGTTTCGAGTACCGGCTGTTGTTCGCCACGCCACCAACGAGGGCCTCTCTCCATTGCTTGATGCTGACTCTCCACCCTTTCCACTCCCCCCACGGCCCTCCAACTCCCTCGCCTGCAGCTCTCCCCGTGGCACGACATCCCTCTCAGGGCGGGCGATGGGCTCTTCAACTTCATCTGCGAGATCCCCAAGGACACGAGCGCCAAGATGGAGGTCGCCACTGACGAGCCTGGCACGCCCATCAAGCAGGATGTAAAGAAGGGCAAGATCCGATACTACCCGTGAGTCACGAGGGGAATTCTGGTTCTTAGATTTTTTTTTTTTTTGGTGTGGCCACAGACGTGCCCCGCACGCACATCAAGCAGGACGCCAACAGTTGGCCTGAATAAGCTTTGCAAACCTGAAAAACAGGGTTCGCATAAATTGCAAGTAAAGCAAGCTTAGTTCTGGCATCCTCTCTCCCTCCTGCAACTGCAGCTACAACATTCGCTGGAAACACAGCACGTTGCCACAGACGTGGGAATGAGCACTTTGAGTCGACCCAACCACACCTGAACACTGATAATATGACTCCCTCTTTCCCTCTCTCCCCCCTGCAGGTACAACATCCACTGGAACTATGGCATGCTGCCACAGACGTGGAAAGAATGATACAAGCAAACTTAAACACATGAATATTGCTAATCCTACTCCCCTTTCTCCCCGCAGCTACAACATCCACTGGAACTACGGCATGCTGCCACAGACATGGGAATGTGTGCTTTGAGTCGATTCACTGAGACTCATGAATATCGCTAATAGTCATTCTATTTCCCCTTTCTCCCCGCAGCTACAACATCCACTGGAACTACGGCATGCTGCCACAGACATGGGAATGTGTGCTTTGAGTCGATTCACTGAGACTCATGAATATCGCTAATAGTCATTCTATTTCCCCTTTCTCCCCGCAGCTACAACATCCACTGGAACTATGGCATGCTGCCACAGACATGGGAATGTGTGCTTTGAGTCGATTCACTGAGACTCATGAATATCGCTAATAGTCATTCTATTTCCCCTTTCTCCCCGCAGCTACAACATCCACTGGAACTATGGCATGCTGCCACAGACATGGGAATGTGTGCTTTGAGTCGATTCACTGAGACTCATGAATATCGCTAATAGTCATTCTATTTCCCCTTTCTCCCCGCAGCTACAACATCCACTGGAACTACGGCATGCTGCCACAGACATGGGAATGTGTGCTTTGAGTCGATTCACTGAGACTCATGAATATCGCTAATAGTCATTCTATTTCCCCTTTCTCCCCGCAACTACAACATCCACTGGAACTACGGCATGCTGCCACAGACATGGGAATGTGTGCTTTGAGTCGATTCACTGAGACTCATGAATATCGCTAATAGTCATTCTATTTCCCCTTTCTCCCCGCAGCTACAACATCCACTGGAACTATGGCATGCTGCCACAGACATGGGAATGTGTGCTTTGAGTCGATTCACTGAGACTCATGAATATCGCTAATAGTCATTCTATTTCCCCTTTCTCCCCGCAGCTACAACATCCACTGGAACTATGGCATGCTGCCACAGACATGGGAATGTGTGCTTTGAGTCGATTCACTGAGACTCATGAATATCGCTAATAGTCATTCTATTTCCCCTTTCTCCCCGCAGCTACAACATCCACTGGAACTACGGCATGCTGCCACAGACATGGGAATGTGTGCTTTGAGTCGATTCACTGAGACTCATGAATATCGCTAATAGTCATTCTATTTCCCCTTTCTCCCCGCAGCTACAACATCCACTGGAACTATGGCATGCTGCCACAGACATGGGAATGTGTGCTTTGAGTCGATTCACTGAGACTCATGAATATCGCTAATAGTCATTCTATTTCCCCTTTCTCCCCGCAGCTACAACATCCACTGGAACTACGGCATGCTGCCACAGACATGGGAATGTGTGCTTTGAGTCGATTCACTGAGACTCATGAATATCGCTAATAGTCATTCTATTTCCCCTTTCTCCCCGCAGCTACAACATCCACTGGAACTATGGCATGCTGCCACAGACATGGGAATGTGTGCTTTGAGTCGATTCACTGAGACTCATGAATATCGCTAATAGTCATTCTATTTCCCCTTTCTCCCCGCAGCTACAACATCCACTGGAACTACGGCATGCTGCCACAGACATGGGAATGTGTGCTTTGAGTCGATTCACTGAGACTCATGAATATCGCTAATAGTCATTCTATTTCCCCTTTCTCCCCGCAGCTACAACATCCACTGGAACTACGGCATGCTGCCACAGACGTGGGAGGACCCCTCACATGCCAACCCCGAGGTCGAAAACACCATGGGCGACAATGACCCTGGTCAGTATTTACATGTATTTATATGTATTTATATACACGTATATGTGCATACACATGCGAACATAAACATAAATATTTGTACAGATATACATGCAGATACATATACATACACGCAAGCATACTGTAGTACATACACGCAAGCATACTGAGAATGTCGGCAATGTTGATGGCCAGTAGTTTATGAGCCTTGCAGTGAAGACAGTGGCAGTGATCGGGGAGAAGCAGGCAGCGCTGGGCGAGGTGTATGCAGTGAAGTGAAGCCGTTGGAGTGGCAGTGCTCGCCATGCCGTTATTGCTCAGTCTAGTCACACCTTCCCTCCCTCCCCCCGTTCTTCTCTCCCGCCTTTCCATCTGCCTGCCTTCCTTCCTGCCTGCCTGCCTTCCTGCCTGCCCTCTGATTCGTGCCTGCCAGTTGATGTGGTGGAGTCCGGCGAGAGGCAGGCAGTGTTGGGCGAGGTGTATGCAGTGAAGCCGCTGGCAGTGCTGCCCATGATCGCCGACTTGAGTCACACCCCTTCCCCCCCCTCTCCCTTTCCTGCCCTCTACTCCCTCTGCCTATCAGTGGACGTGGTGGAGATAGGGGAGAAGCAAGCAGCACTGAGCGAGGTGTATGCAGTGAAGCCGCTGGCAGTGCTGGTCATGATCAACGACGGGGAGCTCGACTGGAAGGTCATCTGCTCTCACCGCTCACTCCCATCCACCCCCTCCCTCCCCTTCCCCTCCATTTTTCTCTCTTCCTGCCCTCCTCCCTGCCTGCCTGCGTTTCTGCGTGCGTGCTTGTCTGCCTGCTTGCCTGCGTCCCCTGTGAGCCTGTGTGCCTATCCACCTGTCAGTTGATGTGGTGGAGATCGGTGAGAAGCAAGCAGCACTGGGCGAGGTGTATGCAGTGAAGCCGCTGGCGGTGCTGGCCATGATTGATGATGGCGAGCTCGACTGGAAGGTCATCTGCATCCGTGCTGATGATCCCAAGGCACACCTCGTGAATGATGTGGAGGATGTGGAGAAGGAGTTTCCTGTGAGTAACCGGCCTTGCTGCTGGCAGCCCCGCTGCTGTCTGTCCATACTGTCATTTCTGTGCCGTCTCTGTCTGTCTGCCACTGCCTCGACTGGAAGGTCATCTGCATCCGTGCTGATGATCCCAAGGCGCACCTTGTTAATGATGTGGAGGACGTGGAGAAGGAGTTCCCTGTGAGCGCCCGGCCTTGCCAGAGGCAGTCCTTCTATTACTTTCTGTCCATGCTGCCATCTCTGTGCCGTCCTTGTCTGTCTGGCTGAGTGCCAGTAGCACCGTGCCTGTTGCCTCGACTGGAAGGTCATCTGCATTCATGCTGATGATCCCAAGATGCACCTTGTGAATGACGTGGAGGATGTGGAGAAGGAGTTCCCTGAGACTGCCCCTCTTAGTCTGCAGGTGGGTGCCTCTCTGAGTGTATGCCTGCTGCCACTCGTGCACTTTCCTACCGCTGTCTGTCCATTCTGCCATACTGCCATACTGCCATGCTGCCATGCTGCCATCTCTGTGCTTGCACCTCTTGCTCGTCAAGCCATGCTCTGCCTCTTGCTCGACTGGGAGCTCATCTGTCTTAAACTCATCAGTAAACAGCAGATTTTTGGGATTTCTGTAAATTTCCTGCCATGCCTCTGGTTTGACTGGGAGCTTATCTGTATCCACGCGCATGAGCGCCCCACCAACCATCACTCCCCACCTGCTTCCTGCCATCCCCCGCATTGCACTCCCCGCATTGCCCTCCCCGCATTGCCCTCCCCGCATTGCACTCCCCGCATTGCACCCCCGTTCCCCCGTCATCCCCCACCGCTTTCCCCACCATCAACCTCCAATCCCCACTGGAACTTCATTTCCAATTCTTTCTGAAGGGTATTGAGCGAATGAGCTCTGAAGGTAGTGTGCGAATGAGTTGCTTGCACCTCCTGTCTTCAGGGAGGAACAAACTTTTGACTTTCTTGTTCTCCCCCTGCTTCACCCTGCTCCCACCACCAGGGCACGCTGACAGCGGTGCTGGATTGGTTCAGAGACTACAAGCTGCTTCAATCACTCCCCTCCCTCCCTTCACACACACACACCACCCCCCATCTCTCCCCAGGGCACGCTGACAGCGGTGCTGGATTGGTTCAGAGACTACAAGCTGCTTCAATCACTCCCCTCCCTCCCTTCGCACACACACACACACACCACACACCACCCCCCATCTCTCCCCAGGGCATGCTGACGGCGGTGCGCGATTGGTTCAGAGACTACAAGCTGCTGGACACACTTCTGAGAATTTTGCCACTTAACATCAGAAAGCTGCTTTCACCTCCTGTCTTCAACACTTTTGGTCGTGTTTCCCCCCACATCACCCCGCTCCCCCCACCAGGGCACGCTGACGGCGGTGCGTGATTGGTTCAGAGACTACAAGCTGCCGGACGGCAAGCCGCCCAACAAGTTTGGCCTTGGCAACAAGGCGGCCGACAAGGCGACGGCACTGCGCGTGATAGAAGAGACGAATGAGTTTTGGGCGAAGCTTGTGAAGCGGGTTACCCCCAGGAATGGCCTGTCACTGGTGTAGAGTATTCTTTTAACGAGCAATGTTACTAATGTTGTGTTACCGTACTAATGGGTGGTTGAAGAGACGAACGAGGTCTGGGTAAAGCTTGTCAAGCGTGTTACCCCCAGAACGGCTTCTTGATGGTGTAGAACTTTCTTGTAACAAATGATATTTGAGGAAATTACACTAACGTGTGACAACCCCAACTCATTTCTTTGCGGCAGTGACCAATCAAAATTAAAGTGCGCAAGGTCTGAAGGTACTCAGGGCGTGTTCCTACGCTGCCTATCAAATACACCTCTTATCAGCTTTGCGTGGTTGAATACGTTTCAGTGTGCTCGACTGCGGTTGGATGCGTTTCTGTGCGGTTCGACTCGAATCTGACAAGAGGTTCGCGTGACAAGAGGCTGTAGGAACTTGCCCTAACTGCTACTGCTGCATGCTGCTACACATCACTCTTGGCAAGCTATAGCCCACTTGCAATAGTGGGCCTTGGGAAAATACCACCGAAGCTAAAAGTTCAAGAAACGTGACACGACGAAAAGATCAACTTGAGAAAAATTATGAACCTCATCTGTGTTTCCTCACTCACTCACTCACTCACTCACTTGCCTTCCCCTCCTCCCTGTAAGCTGAGCTCCCTTGCAAGTGCAAGCAGGCCAGCAGCAGAAAAGGCAGAGAGGAAGCAGCAGCTGTAGCCCAGAGCGAGCAGAGCCCCCCGCAGAGACTGGTGGGTCAAGGAGGGGAGGGGAGGAGGAAAGGGAGGGGAAAGAGTTGAAAGGTTTGAATGAGAGTAAGGCAGAGAGAAGGCAGCAGGTGTAGCCCAGGGCAAGGGAATGACTCGCAGGGACTGGTAAGGACAGGCACGGGAAGGAGAGACGAGACGTTTGGGAGGTATTTTGAAGCGATGGGGAGGAGAGCACATAATGTGCTGAAAAGCAGTGTTGAAGCAAGAGGAGGGGGGAGGCCCAAGAGGGACTGGCAGGTAAAGGGGCGGAGAGGAGAGACCAACAAGGGACGCTGAACTCAGGGCGAGTGCGATTTCTGAATTGACTCAAGAATCACGAGTGGCCAACAAGGGACACTCACGAGTGCAAGGGTGCGTGCATTGTCATTGGCATAGGCCAGTGATCTCTCGTTGACTACCTGTAGCCCTGACAGTGCCACTAGTCACTGAGCTGACTGGCTTAACCTTCCAAAGAGAGGGTGATGCGCTGCACTCACAAGTGCGAGAGCAAGAGCGTTGTTGTTGGCATAGGCAAGGGAGCTCTCGTCCACTGACTGTAGCCCTGATACCAGCACCCAGCTCACCACTCTGTGGGACAGAGGGCGGATGGGGGAGAGGGGGAGATGTGGGTGGCACGTATTGTGGGATATGGAGACGTGGATGTGTGGAAACAAGGAGGAGAAAACGAAGGCTGAAGCAGGGAAATCACGCGAGGATGGGATACATACGGGAAGCGAAGGTAAGGTGTGTGAGAAAAGAAGAGAGTCAATCGCGGAAAAGGCTGTGAGACAAGCAAACGCAAGGTGAAGGGAGTGCGGGGAAATGACCAAGAGACTCACATGTGAGCGCCTGTGGGACTCACCCAAACGCTACAGCAATGGCAGCGCCAGTGAGTGCCTTGGAAGGCGTGACGTCCACCGTGAGAGGACCGAGCTGGTGAGCACGAAGGAGGGTGGGGAGAGAGGAGAGGGCAGGGAGAGAGGAGAGGGCAGGGAGAGAGGAGAGGGCAGGGAGAGAGTACAAAAGATGCTTGGCGATGGTGGCGGCAGCGGCGCCCGCAGCAGCAGCAGCGCCTGTGAGTGCACCATGTTGAAATCACTTTTGAGGATCCTCAAAAGTGAATGGCGTGACGAGTTTAATCCTTGAGCACCCAGTGCCCACTGCCCAGTGGGCACTGTCCACCCTGAGAGTTCGAACAGTGCTGACATTGTACAACTCGAAAACACACAATTGTCTGTTCTTTGAGGCGCCTAAAACACACGAATGTTTGTTCTTTGAGGCGCCTAAAACACACAAATGTTTGTTCTTTGAGGCGCCTAAAACACACAAATGTTTGTTCTTTGAGGCGCCTAAAACACACAAATGTTTGTTCTTTGAGGCGCCTAAAACACACAAATGTTTGTTCTTTGAGGCGCCTAAAACACACAAATGTTTGTTCTTTGAGGCGCCTAAAACACACAAATGTTTGTTCTTTGAGGCGCCTAAAACACACAAATGTTTGTTCTTTGAGGCGCCTAAAACACACAAATGTTTGTTCTTTGAGGCGCCTAAAACACACAAATGTTTGTTCTTTGAGGCGCCTAAAACACACAAATGTTTGTTCTTTGAGGCGCCTAAAACACACAAATGTTTGTTCTTTGAGGCGCCTAAAACACACAAATGTTTGTTCTTTGAGGCGCCTAAAACACACAAATGTTTGTTCTTTGAGGCGCCTAAAACACACAGATGTTTGTTCTTTGAGGTGTCTAAAAAACACACAATACGCACCTTAAAGCCCGTGCCCCAAATTGCGGACAGCGCGCGTCAAGTTTTTAAAACTTGACGAAGCTGAGTGTGCAAGCTTTGAAAAGCAGCGCACCTGCAATTTGGGACTTTCGAAGACTGTGTGACAACACTCACCAGAGGGAAATACGGGGGCTGGCTGGGTTTGGCGAAAAAAACGATTTTGACGGAATCTGAAAAACTCGCCCAACCCAAGACCAGAAAAACACCCTCTCGTCAACTTTTAGAAGGATTAACAATTTGGGCTGCCGAATTCAAGCTCACCTGTAACACACATTGACCACAATCTGAACGCACCGTGAAGGTTCGAACAGGGTTGAAATCGGAAGCGCCATCGTCAGTGCATCCCGCTGCTACCACCTCCCCTGCTGTTGTCAGGGCCTTGCCAAGCTGATAGGAGGGGAGGGGAGTGGAAGGATAAGGAGGGAGGTGGAAGGATCAAGGGGGTAGTGTTAAGGATAAAGGGGGGAGACTGTTGTGAAGCCGTCTGAAGACAACATTCTGGTGAAGGGAGAGGAGGGGCTCAGACAACATTCTGGTGAAGGGACAAGAATGGCTCAGACAACATTCTGGTTGCGACAAGAATGGCTCAGACAACATTCTGGTGAAGGGAGAGGAGGGGCTCAGACAGCTCATTCGTCAGAGCCCCTCCTCTCCCTTCACGTCGCGCTCCCCACTCCCCTCACCTGCACATCCTTGCCCTGTATGTAAGCCCTCGCAACTCAAAGGCCCCCTCTCGCTCCTCCCTCCCCACCTCTCTCCCCTCAATCCTCACCTGAGCATCCTGTCCTTGCCCTGTACGTATGTTTTTTTGAGACGTCTCAGACGTCTCAAAACTACACTTTTTACACGTACGCCCCCATGCCCATGAACCGCCTGCCTCTGCTGCTGTTTCCACTGACTCAGAGGTCCCCTTGCAACTCAAAAGCCCCCTCTCGCTCCTCCCTCCCCACCTCTCTCCCCTCACCCCTCACCTAAGCATCCTATCCTTGCCCTGTACGTATGCCCCCATGCCTGTGAACCGCCTGCCTGACTGCTGCTATTTCCACTGACTCAGAGGTCCCCTCCTCTCCCCCCCACCCACTCCCTCCCCCACACTTCCCCCCCCACACTCCCCCCTCCAACATGCCCTCTCGCCCCTCTCTCTCCTCACCTGGGCGGCCTTGCCCTGTGCATATGCCCCCATGCCTGTGAACCGCCTGCCGGCTGCGATTTTCACTGACTCAAAGGTCCCCTCTCGCCCTCTCTCCTATCAAACGTCCCTCCTCCCTCACCTGGGCGGCCTTGCCCTGTGCATATGCCCCCATGCCCGTGAACCGCCTTTTGAGGCGCCTCAAAATTCGCCTCAAATGTCGCCTCACCTGAGCCGCCTTGCCCTGTGCATATGCCCCCATGCCCGTGAACCGCCTGCCGGCTGCTCGCAGCCTCCTGCCCAGCACTGCCAGGGGAGCAAATGAGAAAATGGGGAAGAGATGGGAGGGTACGAAAAAGGAGAGAAGGTGAAAGAAAGAGAGGTAGCAGAGGGAGGAATTTGGGCGCGCGGGAGTGGGAGAGAGAGGGTGAATGTCTGGTTGGGAGATGGGATGGTTAGTGAACAAGGAGATTGCCTTGTTCCCTTGTTCAAACGGGATGGAACATGCATGCAATGCAAGAGTTGCCATGCACTGCCACTCTGACATGCTCTTCCATCCAACCCCTCACTTCTCTTTTCCTCTTTCCCTGTTTCCCTCTTGACCTCCCCCTTCCTCTCCCCCTCCCTCTCCACCCTCCTCACCGAACCCCACCCCCTTGTCCTCCCCCTTACCGTCCCCCCTTGCAATCCCCAATCCTCCCTCCCATCTCTTACCCGCCCGTTCTCTCCCTCCAGGGGGAAGCTTCGCAGCAGCATCCTTAAGCCCAGCGACAGAAGCGGCAGCAGCAGCAGGAGCGGCCTCTGACGCCGTGAGGGCCGCTGTGAGTGCGGCGAGAGCTGATGACACTGCTGGTCCGCACTGGGAGGGGGAAGACGAGCGCAAAGGGGCAGCAAGAGGAGGCAGCAAGAGGAGGCACATGAAGGCAGCAGCAGGAGCGGCCTCTGACGCCGTAAGCGCGGCTGCGAGGGCGGAGAGGGCTGCTGACACTGCTGGGCTGCACTGGGAGAAACAATCGGAGGAGAGGAGAGAGAGAGGGAGGGGGAACCAGAGGACTATGGGAAGGCACGTCATGGCAGCAGCAGGAGCGGCCTCTGAAGCCGTGAGCACGGCTGTGAGGGCGGAGAGAGCTGCTGACACTGCTAGGCCGCACTGCAAGGAGGTGGGGATAGGGCAGTGCGAGAGGGAAGGAGAGGACAGGGGGGGTTATGGCAAGACACGTCGTGGCAGCAGCAGGAGGAGCCCCGCTTGAGGCCGTAAGGGCGGCTGTAAGAGCGGAGAGCGCCGAGGACACTGCAAGCCCACACTGGGTATGCAGACAGCCCTCAACAGCCACAGCCACACTGGGTAGGCAGACAGCCCTCAACAGCCACAGCCACACTGGGTATGCAGACAGCCCTCAACAGCCACAGCCACACTGGGTATGCAGACAGCCCTCAACAGCCACAGCCACACTGGGTATGCAGACAGCCCTCAACAGCCACAGCCACACTGGGTAGGCAGACAGCCCTCAACAGCCACAGCCACACTGGGTAGGCAGACAGCCCTCAACAGCCACAGCCACACTGGGTAGGCAGACAGCCCTCAACAGCCACAGCCACACTGGGTATGCAGACAGCCCTCAACAGCCACAGCCACACTGGGTAGGCAGACAGCCCTCAACAGCCACAGCCACACTGGGTATGCAGACAGCCCTCAACAGCCACAGCCACACTGGGAAGGCAGACAGCCCTCAACAGCCACAGCCACACTGGGTAGGCAGACAGCCCTCAACAGCCACAGCCACACTGGGTAGACAGGAGACGGGAGAAGGAGCACCCCCCTCCTGCCTTCCGCTGCCTTCAGGAATGTTCCTGCACATTCCTGAACTCTCCTGCCACATCCCTCTACCTGCACTGCACTGCACGCACCTCTGCCGAGACGTTCCCGTTGGTGAGGTCAAACGCTCCCCCCCCCTCCTGCCTTCCGCTCACATTTCTCCCACCCTTCCCCAATCTGTTTCCCCACCCCTCTACCTGCACTGCCCGCACCTCTGCCGAGACATTCCCGTTGGTGAGGTCAAACGCCGCGTCCTTGAGCTGACCGGGGAGCAGCAGGGGAGGGGAAAATGGGGGTGAGGGAGGGGGAGTGAGGGAGGGGGAGTGAGGGAGCGGGGGTGAGGGAGCGGGGATGAGGGAGGGAAGGGAGACTGCGTCTCTGGGCTGATGAGAGAGCAGCAACAGGGATAAAGGCGCGAGCAACAGGGGGATGGGGGGAATGTGGTGGGAAAGACGGGGGGATAGGGGGGAGATGCGAACTTATGACGTGGCAGCAAATCCATTGTTAACGGCAAACGCCACTCAGTTGATTTTTTAGTCGACTCCGAAATCGTCTCGGCAAACGCCAATCAGTTGATCTGCTCTACTCTTTCCCCCGAACCCCCGGATTCATCACCCTCTTCCACCCCATTACCCCCATTTATTTCTCCCCCCCAACCTGTTCCCCTCCTCGCTCCCTTTCCGCTCCTTCCCCTCAGACCGCTTATACTCACATCCAGTCAAAGGTCCCCCGCTTATACTCACATCCAGTCAAAGGTCCCCCGCTTATACTCACATCCACTTGGAGGTCCCGAGGGAGTGAGGAGAAGAAGTCCGCGTCTAGAGACGCGAAGGACGACTGGAAGAGGGGGGGAAAAGGGGGGCGGGAAGGGGGGGGAGAGGGGAGGAGAGGGGGCGGAAGTGGGGAGCGAGGAGAAAAATTTCGCATCTAGAGACCCCAAGGACGACTGAGGGAAGGGGGGAAAAGAGGGGGACGAGAAGGGGGGAGCGGGGGAGCGGGAGCGGGTGGGAGGGGAGGGGATGAGGGAAGGCAGGAGGTTAGCGTGATGCTAAGGACGACGGCGGCCGGGGGGGGGGGAGAAGAGGGGGGAGCAGGTAGCACGTGGAGGAGGGGATGAGAGGCGCGGAAGTGGGATGAGAGAGGGAGGCAGAAGGTCAGTGGGGCGGGGGAGAGCGACTGGAGGAGGGCGGCGCGGTTTTTCGAAAATTCTCCAAAACCAGGGGGCGGGGGGGGGGGGGAGGCGGAGAAGGATAAGTGTTGCGCGGAATGGGGACGAGGGAAAGCAGGCGCTGCTTTTCTGGTTCGTTCCCCCTGCTCCTGTTCCGCTGCGCCTGTTCCCCTGCGCCTGCTCCGCGCCTTATCCGCGCATGTCTCTCCGACTCAAACACACCTGCAGAGTCTTGAATGCCGCGCCTTCCGCGCTTGCTTGAGTTGGCAACGACGCATCCGATTGGCTTGCGCTGCACCTGACGTCAGCACGGCGACATCTGCTCCTGAATCCGATCGAAGCGCAACGAACGGCATTTAGATATGTACGAGGTAATAGAGGAACCGTACGAACGCGGGCGCCCCCACCACGAGCGCTGACGCTTTTGAACGCCTGAACGCAAGGAGCGCCGCATGATACGCCAAGTTTCGCACGGAGCGAAAGAGCCAAATGCGGGGACATGGCGGAATAATTAGAATTAGAACCAGTGAAGGATCTCAATGAGGAAACAAGGTTTCGCACGGTGCTAGTCAGCCCTGAAAGCCGTCATTCAAAGGTTATATGCCGGCAGGATGTTATTACAACAATCATGCCTGTGATTCTTCAGAGAATTCTCAGCTTGGCATATTCTTGTGTGCAACTGGCTGCCAAGTGTCAGCATAGATTTCTGATTTTATGAATTCCCCAATGTTTGACTTTCGAATCTTCTAACTGAATGCTTCCTCCAATCAAGTGTTGTACATTCGAAAGCTCGACACGCTGGATTCGGGGTACTACAGCGTGGATAAGACTGCGAACAGTGCTTGCGATTGGCTGTGCTTGCACGAATCACACAGATATCCGAAAGTTCATACATAGGACTTGTACACCACTGCATGGATAGGAAAATCATAAAATGCCCAAACAGTAAATCCATTTATTTGGTGTCTACACTAAAGGCTCATTCCAAAAGGCACCTAGAGTGTTAAACATACCTCAATCATGTGACGAAAATGGTACCAAGGGCCAAGGCTATCAAAGCCCCAAAAGAAATATTGATCACGTTCACAATGTCATTTGTCATCTGCAAACGAAATGACAAACAAGCAGTCACATGAAAAAGCTTGAATGGACCACACAATTACATAAAAATATACTAGCACACAAACATATTAACAGGAACATGCCTGCACTTACCCATTCGTAACCGGGTTTGTCTTGGAACATAGCCCCCACGTAACTCTCTCCGAAATTGGCGATTTGTGATGCCAGCACGCAGAAGAGGGCTCCGACAAGGCTCACCTGCAAGTCATGCAAGGGGGATAAATGGAGCAGAACAATGTAAGGTGCAGTGTGCAATGGGATAGACTGCCACATTCTATTTGTACCAAGTCTATACACGTTGCAATCTGTGATGCTGGCATACAAAGGGAGCTCCAACAGGTGTCAACTTTAAAACCTGCAAGGGGACAGCATGTTGGTGGGGGGAAAGGAAAGCCAGAGGGAGGAGAAAGGGGTGGAGCACAACAATGGAGGGAAGCATCAAACTTGTACAGCAACAATGCAAACTGATTTGGATATGTTGTCTGCTACATACCTATGAATGCCCCTGTGCACGTGCATGTCTGCACCGAGCAACAAAGGATTCCAGTCCTTGATACTCACTTGGCTGGTGATCAGAGCAACAGCAGAGAGCACCATAGCAGCTGCCAGACCTGCCACCGTTCCCTCGAGACTCACTGCCCCCTCTGTGCCCCTGGGAACTGGATGGAAGGAAGTCACCAGGAAGCTGCAAGGACAGGGCCAGGCCAGCAAGGGACACAAGAGGTAGATATTGAGAGCATGTAGCTATCACTTGTGCAAGCAATGTACACAATAATTATCACACTGTAGATAAGAGGGACACTAACTGGGCAGACCACTGACCTGAGAACCACAGCACATTCTTACCTAGCCACGCGATTCTTACAACACTGCTTAACAACCCCTCTTGTTACACTCACGTGCGCTTGCCGAAGGCCTTGCCAATCTCGCTGGCAGCAGTGTCCGACAGTTTGGTAGCAAAGCTGGCCACATAACCCAGCTGCCACACCGCCACGCTCGGCAGCACCACCCCCTCCATCCCCCATCCAGCTCCCCCTCCTGCAGCAGCAATGGCTCCCAGGCAGCACACCACCGCAGCAGCAGCTGACCCCACCACGCTCCACGGCCCCCTCCTCCCACTCCGCTTCTCTGCTATCCCCTCCTGTTGCTTCTGCTTCAGCTTCACCTTGGTTACCAGTGTGCCCTGGGTGCAGAGAGACAGGGGTTCGAATGAAAAAGAAGCAATGAGAGGGCTTGTTTCGTCTCTTTGATCCTCCTGCTGCTTCTGATGCAGCTTTGCTTTGTAGAAAAAAAAGGGGTTCGAGAAAAGGGAGAGGCAGCGAGAAGAAACAGGGATTCGAGAAAAGGAGAAATAGCGAGAAGAGGTGTTTCGTCCCTTCCCTTAAGTCCCTCCTGCTGTTTCTGCTGCACATTCACCTTGGTCACTGTGCCCTTACGAATGAAAGGACAGACCAAATTTATGACAGAAAGCAAACAGAAGGAGCATAAACGCAATACAGTCACGTTATCTGACGTATTACTCACGAGAATGAAGTACAGCCAGAGGATGAGGTAGCCCGGCCAGTAGAACGCCCTCCATACAGTCACACCCAGGAGAAACGCGGACAGCACCCCTGGCAGGTTCAGCCCGGCGAGCAGTCCGGGCATCAAGACGGCGAAAGTTGTGCACGTGACAAGGACAGCGGATTGCCACGTGGCAGGCTGGAGGAGGAAGGCATCGACGGTTGGCTGCAGAATGGTAGCGACAGAAGCGGGGAGCGCTGTAGAGCGTTCCATTTAAGATTTAGAACGGTTAGTTAGGGTACTTAGGGAAAACGTAGTTTCGGGACCCACTCAAGTCGATTATGCCGGTGACACTTCAGAGTGTGCAATACAGTACGTGTCAGCATAGATTTCTCATTTACTCTCGAATGTTCCAGCCTGCCGTCTCCTCCAATAGGTGTTCAACTTCAGGTGATTAGTCGGACAGGCTGCTTTTTTTTCCTCTGTCAGCTGCCCGCGGTCAGAAACTTTTAAACCCCAACCTGGTATGCGACTCGGGAAACACCTTGTCGCATGACAAATGTTGGGGATGGGTGCCATCCTGATAAGGTTTAGTTTTGTTGATCCCGCCGTCAGATTGACGGCCGTCGTCGCTCGTCACTCAGTTGCTGTCGTCGCTCACGGGCCGGCTAATCCCCGTAGGGTGGATCAGCTAACGAACCCTCTTCACAATTGGCAGTGTTTGCAAGGTCGTCCTCAAAGTGGATGCTCAATTACAAGCTAAAACGTGTACAGAACATAACTGAAATATGAAACTCATAGCAAGGGAAGCAGGCCAAGCAGCATATCCATTTCTTGGTGTGTGCATTCTACTCTAAAGACATATCTAGAAGGCACCTCCTTGAGTGGATACATCAATCTACGGGACGAAAATGGTACCAAGGGCCATGGCTATCAAAGCCCCAAAAGAAATGTTGATCACATTCACGATGTCATTTGTCATCTGCACAAAAAGCCACAACACAAACAAGCAACCAACGAAATAGCTTTGATGGACCGTACAAGTACTGAGAATCATACTTGAAAACCTGAGCTGAATAGGTTTTTCATAACCAAACAAATATCAACAAGAATGTGTACGCACTTACCCATTCGTAACCGGGTTTGTCTTGGAGTGTAGCCCCCACATAACTCTCTCCGAAATTGGCAATCTGTGATGCTAGTGTGCAGAAGAGGGCTCCAAGAAGGCTCACCTGCAGGACATGCAATGGGGATGAATGGGGCACAAAATGCAGGGTGGTGCAGTGTGCAAGGAGATAGGCTGCCACAATTTATCTGCCTGCACGCCACAATTCGTGATGCCAGCTTGCAAAAGAGGGCTCCCACGGAGGTTATTTTTAGAATATGCGAGGGGACGGCAGGAACGGAGGGGGGGGGGGGGGGGGGGGGGGGGGGAGGGAAGGAGAGGGGGTTGGAGGAGCTCAACAAAAGGGGAGCATCAAACTTATACGACAACAATAATGTGAGTTCATTTAGATATAACGTCTGCAACATGCGTATGAATGCTCCTGAGCGCGTGCATGTGTGCAGAGCAAAGCAGCGGACGTCACCACAGCAGCTGAATCTTGAAACGTCCCAACCTTCTTAAGACACAGTGTCGAAACAGAACCTCAAACATCGCCTTAAACCACAATTCTGAGATTCACCTGATTGGTGAGCAGAGCAGCAGCGGACAGCACAACAGCAGCTGCCAGTCCTGCCAACGTCCCCTCAAGACTCACGGCGCCCTCTGTCCCCCTGGGAACTGGCTGGAAGGAAGTCACCAGGAAACTACAAGTGCAGGGCAGGCCAGGGACACAAGAGGTTGATATTAAGTGCAAGAACCACTTGCAAAGTGTCCACGACAAATGTCACACTGTGCATAAAGGGGCACTAACTTAGCATACCACCCACCTGTGCACCACCATAGCACTTACTTACTGTGCGTTGTGCACAACACACAATTCTATAAACGTGACCTCGCTTCTGTTTATCACAGCTCCTCTCACTACACACTCACGTCCGCTTGCCGAATGCCTTGCCAATCTCGCTCCCAGCAGTGTCCGACAGCTTCGTAGCAAAGCTGGCGACATAGCCCAGCTGCCACACCGCCACACTAGGCAGCACCACCCCCTCCAACCCCACTCCAGCTCCCCCTCCTGCAGCAGCTATGGCTCCCAGGCAGCACACCACCGCAGCAGCAGCTGATCCCACCACGCTCCATGGCCCCCTTCTTCCGCTTCGCTTCTCCGCTATTCCCTCCTGCTGCTTCTGCTTCAGCTTCACCTTGGTTACTAGTGTGCCCTGGCTTGGAAAAAGCATGGGTTTGAGAAAAGGAACGCCAACGAGAAGATGTGTTTCGTCCCTTCAAAACCCTCCTGCTGTTTCTGCTGCAGCTTCACCTCGGTCACTGTGCCCTGAGAATGAAATGAATAGATCCTCCTTATAGAAAGAAAATGGCAGGAGCAGAACCTCCATACAGGCACAGTATTGCGAGAATTACGCACGAGAATGAAGTACATGCAGACGATGAGGAAGCCCGGCCAATAGAACGCCCTCCATACAGTCACACCCAGGAGAAACGCGGACAAAATCCCTGGCACGGTCAGCCCAGCGAGAAGTCCAGGCAGCTCAACAGCGAAAATTGTGGACGTGACAAGGAGAGCGGATTGCCACGTGGCAGGCTGGAGGAGGAAGGCATCGACGATTGGCTGCACGGCAGTAGCGACAGAAGTGGGGAGTGCTGTAGCGCGTACGGATAGGCGATTTTTGGAAAGCTTCATGTGAGACGAATGGGGAGACGAAGACGAGGGATGAGAGTGGGAGAGAAAGGTGGAGAACGAAGGAGAGGCGAAGGAAGAGGGGAGCGCGACTCGCGATTGAGGGTGTTGTTTCAGGCTGAGAGCGACACGTGGACGGGAGGACGCGATTGACGGCGCTAAAGATGGCACACGAAGCGCGACGGCTGTAGGAGGAAACGCTGGGCTGGCGGAATCGCGGGAAGGACTGACGGAGCGAACAGCAGTCTGCGCACTCTGGAAGGTTCCAGGATGCTCCATCATGGCCGTCACCATGGTGACGTCAGCCCGCTAAGAGCAGAAGAATGGCTGGTGTGATATGGTTAGCCGGGTTTGACTTTCTAAACCTAGAAGCTAGTAGCTGGGAAAATCAGCTTTGCCAGAAACGACAGGCTTTGGAGATTGACAGTTATCGCCGAAAAAGAGAGAACTTCCAAGAGGGAGAAGAGTGAGTGAGTGTGGCAGCGGGGTTGTCGAGAAGTGTACTACAGTGAAGGTGACAACAGCGTAGGGAAAGAGTGACCTTCCAGCGGCAGCTTCGAAAGCTTCCCGACAGAACGGATAATCCAAGAACTGAAAGAAGCTGGGACCAATCTCACCAGCTCCGCGTACTGCGTTCTCCTGAGGGCATGGGAGTTTCTGGCCAGTCGACACCTGTCAGCCTTAGGGCGTGTAACCATTTTGCCATTTTTCCATCCGGACGGTCCGAATTGCGGACCGTCCAGATTGGCGAAATGTTACCCACTTCGTGCACTTTCGTGTGGTGTTTCGCCAAGACCCCTTGCGACGTCGCCAAAAAAAACGAACCATATGACACTTTTCTCCCTTTCCCTCCGTCCGAAACTGCCATTTCAGACCGTCCGAAACCACAACGGACGGTCCGACACCACTCCGCCTGGATTGGCGCGCGAAATTCATATCTACACCCCTCTGCCGAGCCGCCCTGCGCAAAATTTTGGCGCACATGCGGCCCGAGATTGTCAATCAGAACGCCCGAGATGGATCACCCAAGCAGCCTAGATGTCACTACAAAATGTTTGAAATCGAGCCGCCATGATGGCTCGCGATACTTGCGAATGTTTGTACATTGTGTTATTTGGTTGGCGAGGGCTGGGCGACGCTACAGTTCTCGCGAGACTGGGGAGGTGTGAAAAAGTGTCACTTTTCTATTCGGACGGTCCCACGGTTCCGAAACTTCAAAGCGGACGGTCCTGTTCTCGTTATTAGGACCGTCCGCTTAATACTATACGGACGGTCCGCAAAATAGTAAAAAAACAAAATGGTTACACGCCCTTAGCGCGGCTTTCGCTGTCTCGGAATTTGTTGTGGTGAGCTGTTGAGGGGAGCAGAGGAGAGGTTAAACTTCGTTCTAGGGTGATTCGCTAAGATTTCTCTTGAAGGACAGAGAAATTGTAATACTGTAAATTTAAGGTAACTATATTTGGGAGAGAAGCGGGCCGCACAGCTGTTTTCTTGATTTGGCAGGGTAGTCATGCCAAGTCAACAAAACCACCCCAAGAGAAGCCAATCACATCCTTCGTCAGACCGTCATTCGCGCCGTCGACTGCTGCCAGCTCGACACGGTGGCAACTTTCCGAGTTGGACTCGGATCTGGAAGCCGCCTCTGGGAGCTCAGCCAGCCGCGCCATCAGTACGCGACTCGGGAGCACCGACATCGCAGCGGCTCGATGTTGGGATTTCCTTGGAGTGGCTTTTTATTGTGGGTACAAATGTGGCAAGATTTTGCCATTCAGAGTATCATAAACTCAGGGGACCAAGATTCTCGTTGCTGCTCACTCATCCAATCAACCATTCGAAGTAACGCCCTTTCTACAACTACTTCATAATAGCTATCATGGCTCGTCATCAGCTACTAATTCTATCATCTCTACTTCTGCTGACGCTGTCAGCTGCAACTGATGACGACTTCTTTCCGGCTGCCGTTGCAAGGCCCGCAACGTACAACCCTTGCTACAGGGCCACCAAAGCGCTGATTGACGCCCTTGAGGACGAATACTCCGCTTTTATCTTCTTCTTCAAGCGCGCAGGTTAGAATGTTTCGCTCATAGGCAAAATCTACACGATCTTCCAGCGTGAATTTCTTTTCTCTATCGAAATGTCTCGCCCATCATAACGGAAAAGGGAAAGGAGGGTCTTGTTTCAGGTTTGGACAAGGAGTTTCCGGACTTGCTGTGCAAATACACGGTCACCATTTTCGCGCCGACGAATGAGGCGTTCAAGTCGCTCGACAGCGACCTGAAGAAGAAGGTGAAGGAGAACAAGCTGCTTCTGCGCGAGCTCATGCTGCTGCATGTCGTCAAGGGCAAGAAGACATTCGCGCGCCTCCTTGAGCAGGAACAAGGCCATCAAGTAAGAAAAGGCTGCACCTGATAAACTCTTTCTGCATTCTTTAGCTGTCGAAAAGTGCCTTTTAATTAAATATCTTTATTTTTTTACAACCGTGACATTTGTTCCCTACTGAAACGTTCGTGTTACCTTTCCTGCCAGTACGAGTCCCTCGCAGCTCGCGGCCAAGCCAAGCTGGTCAAGCGCAGCGAGGAAGACGACGAGCCGTTCATCATCTCGGCCAAGCGTGGCAAGAACACAGCAACTATTGTGGACGAAGATGTGTTTGTGAGCAAGTTCGTGTCGGTGCAGGGGGTCGACGAAGTCATTCTGCCACTCAAGCTGCAGAAGCCGAATAAGTTTGAGACTCTCGTCTAGTGCATGAATAATGTGAAGTGGAAGGAAGTTGGCCTATGCACCCCAAGTAGGGCAACAATTTGGCAAAACAGGGGCAAGAATCATAGAGTGCATAATAAGAGTGTATTTTCTCGTATGGTGTGTATGTAGGTAGGGCAGGAAGGGAAGGGGACGAGGGGTTGGAGGGAGAGAAGAGGGGAAAGATGGGGGAGGGGGTGAGGAAATTGGGGATTGTTGAGGGGGGGAATAGGATTGATGAAGAGAAAGGTGAGGGAGTTGGTTTATAGAGTAGTATGAGTGTATTTAGTATGTTATACTTTCTAATTGGTTGGCCGATGTGATTGTCTGCTCGTTTGGGTGTATAATTTTGTATGTAGCAATAATAATTGGGGTGCTGCATATTTTACACAAGATCTTCATAATAAATAATGATACTCACAGGAACTGTACCAGCTCATTTACACATGGGTAAACAAAGTTCAAAGTATTCCAAGATAGAAGTCATATTTCCCAGAACTAGTCACATACCGTACCAAACATTTGCAGTGTACACAACACTGCGTCTGAATAGAAACCTATCGCGTTCTGATGAACTGAATGCGTCAGCTGCGCTCTTGGGGTTGCTTTGTTGCTATTCACAATTTCACACCCTCCATTGGTTTGTGCGCGTCTTCAGCGAAATATCACACAGGTCGCACGTGCCACTAATCATCGCGACTCGCGAACACATCTCCGCTTCCTGCTGCCCAATGGGCTCCGCAACCCTAACGACCGCTGCGACGACGCTGCGACACAGAGCGATCTCGTCGCTACCGTATTGCTACGATTCGCATGCACAATGCACGTCGAACCGCTCCGCGTGCGCCTATCAGTCGCTTCCACGTCAGCTCCGTCCATTTACGCATGGCGTCGTCAGCTCTCGAACCCTCCGCAGAGCAACCCTTCAGGTTCCGAGGCTAGTCGTTACCGCAGCCGTGGCAGCCGACAGGCTCGGCCCGGACGTGGACGAGGAGGCTCGGAGTGAGGTTCGGCGGCGGCAGGCTCGGCTGCTGTGGAATGTAGACGGCACGGAGCGTGGCGCGAAGGCGGATTCGGAGAGGCGCGGCGAGATCGAGGAGGCGGTCGTTGACTTGGAACGACTTGGCGGGACGCCGTTGACATCGGGATTGGATCGGCTGGACGGGTGGTGGGAGCTCAAGTACAGTACCGCTGCTGACGTCACTGGCATTCTCATGGCTCCGTTGTCGCTTCCGCTGCCGATTCTACAGGTGCGGCTCAGTGCTCTCTTCAGAACCACTTTACCCATCCCCCCCTCCCCTCCTCCCCGCTCTCTGCTTTTGAATCAAATGCCTTGTTCTATTCTCCTCCTCCACCACCACCACCAGCACCTTCCCTTCTCTTCCCCTTTTTCCCCATTGGTCCAGGTGAGCCGTATCTTCCAGCACTAGATCTCCACCACCCTCTCTCCCCCCTCTTCTCTCCTCTCTTCTCGTCCCCAATTCCTTGCATGTCCAGGTAGGCCGCATCTTCTAGTGCTACATCTTACCCCCTGCTCTCCCCCGTCTCTCGCCCCTCTTCTCTGCTCTCGTCCCGCCCCTCTTCCTAGCATGTCCAGGTGGGCCAAGTCTTTCAGCGCTACATTTTTTTTCCTGCTCTCTCCCCCTACCGCTCTCTCCCCCTACCGCTCTCTCCCCCTACCGCTCTCTCCCCCTAACCTCTCTCCCCCTACCCTCTCTCCCCCTACCTCTCTCTCCCCCTCCCTCCCCAATCCCTCGGTCCAGGTGGGCCGAATCTTTCAGCGCTATATCTGTGCCGGGCGAACAGACGGGGGCACGGTGCAAAACGTGGTTCGGTGGAGCCTGCCAGGCCTGCAGGTATGGCAATGAGGTATGGGCTCGGTCTGGTCGATGCAGGTATGGCACCATTTTTTGGGTCTGGTACCGTAGGTGCAGGTATGGCAATGTGTGATTGATTCCGAAAGTCGAAAGGTTTCCTTTTGATGACTTCTGCCCGACTTCTTCCGTCTTCACCTTTTCATTCTTTTGATTTTTTCATTCTTTTGATTTCACTCCTTTCATTCTCCCTTCTCCTCCTCTCGCTGTCTCTCGTCTCAGCTCCTCTCTATTTCCCTTACCCTGCTTCTCCCCATCGTCTTCGCCTCCCCACACAGGACAAGGAGGGCGCATCCCTAATAGTGACAGCAGAGTTTGACGTGCTCAGTGGCCGTGCCATCCTTTTAATTTAAAAATCCTCTTTTCCTTTCCACCCTCCCGCACAGCATCACGGTGTCATCCTCCTTCCCCCCCTCACAGGACAAGGAGGGCGCGTCCCTAATAGTGACAGCGGAGTTTGACGCACGCAGTGGCCGGGCCATCCTTCTTGTTTTAAATCCCTCCTTTCCTTTCCACCCTCCCCCACAGCATCACGGTGTCATCCTCCTCCCCCCCCCCCACAGGACAAGGAGGGCGCGTCCCTAATAGTGACGGCGGAGTTTGACGTGCGCAGTGGCCGCTCCATCCAGCTGCAGTTCGAGCGGGCGGCAGTGGGCGGCGTGAAGATTAACGAGCAGCTGCAGGCTCTGCTTGCACCGGCTGCCCTGCCCCGCGCCCAGCTGTCGCTAGATGTGAGAGATACAGGCATGCCCACGGACATGCATATATGCATTCACCAAGGAGCATTGCATGCATCCAAACATGCAGACTTAGAAACATAGCAGGCAGACATGCTTGTGTGCACACAGCATGGGAACACACTTGTCGTTTGTGATCTAAGTTGGATTTTACACATACGTTTACGTACGTTTTAAATTACGTGTGCGGAGCTGAAAATTGTTTACGTTTGCGGGCAGATTACAACTTTTTTTGGGCTGCCCGACAACCTTGTGCCCTCGTTTTGCTCTAAATCCGGTTTTTTTCTGCACAATCAAAGGGTGGCGCGACAATGTTTCGACCACCACCCATTTGGTTTGTGGTGACGGGTTTCATGTGTGCTGGTTTTTTACAACATTGTTTTTTTTTTTTTTTTTTTTTTTTTTTTTTTTTTTTGGTCTCGCATCCTGCCTCTTGTTCCACTCCTGTAGTCAATGGCCCTTCTTGGCAAAAAATTTCCCTGCCCGGATATGTGCTATGCGTATTTACACGTACGTTGGCGTACGTTCACGTTTACGCGTAATATTACGACTACGCGGGTCCAAAAACGTACGGACCCAACTTAGTTTGTGATCCCATGCGGCTATGCTCTGGTCGCACTGTTGCTGTTGCACTAACTGCAATCTCTTGCCTCCATACTACGTTTGTACCGCGTTCGCATCGTTTTCTGTGTTTGCATGGTGTACCACATGTGCATGGCGCACTCCGTGTGTTGCAGGCGCTGCAATTCTTTCGTTCTTTGGAGCTGTCAGTGCCTCTTGGCTCCCCTCTTCGCACCACCACAGAAGTATTGTCAAGGTAAACCACATCCAAGTTGTAAATAAATTGCAACAACTTTATAGACATTCTCTATGTTGCTCCTGGATACTGACAACCAACTCAATCTGTGTTTTGAACATTTCTGCCTTGCCCAAATTCAGCTCTGTTCCTGCCAATCGCTTCATGATCACGTTTCTCGACGAGCGAATCTTGGTTGGCCGAGCTGTTGCCACAGGGGGTCTATTCATTTTTGAGAAGTCGGAGGAGCCTTCATGAAATCATTGCTTTTAAAATTTGCGTACATGCTTCTGGGTCCTTATTTATGGCAGTCGTTTTAGTTGATTTCTTATTATCATGATCTTTCACAGGCTGTAAGGACTTTATTTTTCTTTTGTAGTAGTGTAGATCCCCGCAATATAATGGGTTTGTCTATTCCTTTCTTAGCCTTTTAGTTGTGCCAAGAGGGATTGAAGGTTCTGGCTTTCACACGGTGGCGTTTCGCTTACGTCAAAAGGTTCGACGATGTGCTGACAGAGAATGCTTGCCCACGACGTGGCAGCCCCAGACGTGCCTAGCCTGATGCTGTCGATGTCGCGGTCCCCCTACTCCCTTCCCGTGCAATCTCAAGCGGACACGACCGCAACATTCTGCGCGCGTGCCCTTTGGGACGATCACGCAATCAGAGCGCAACATTACACCCAATCACAACATGCGTTCGGAGCTTTCGCGGAATCTCGAATTCTCCGCGCCAGTGGGCAGTGCAGCGCGGAAGAAACAAACGGACAGGGCAACGTGCTTCCTTGTTCCGCGCCAATCATGGTTGGTGCTTTCCGCAACAGCTGTCCTTCCGCATTGCTGCACTGCACCTTTCTGCCGCTGTGTTTGCCTAGTAGACCCTCACTCCCAATTTCTCACAGCCCTCAAGGTTCATTCAAAAGGCCTCAATCGACCTTCACTTTTCCTCTCTCACCAATTTCAGACCTTTTTCCCTGCTTGCTGCTTTGACGCAGTTGTTTCCAGAGTCATAACAATTGCGTTCTGGTTTAGCTCCGCGCGCCGTAGAGTCTGCCAGACGCTCCAATTGAGCTGAACTTGCCGTGTCCTATTGTCCTTGCGTTGCGTCCAGTTCTTCGCCATGGATAGTGTACTCTCGATGGCGACCACGTCAGCAAGCCTGACATCCCAATCCGCAACTGGACTTAATAGGCTTGCAACTTCTGGCTTTTCCGGAGGACTACGATCTGCGCCGTTGAGGTTTTCCCCATCTCACGGTCAGCGTTTCAGCAAGCAAGCAGGAAGGTCTAGCCTTGCCGCGAGGGCAGTTTTCGATCCGCTGCATTTAGACGCCGCAATTTCCACCCTTACTTCCCACAATTTCCTCTACGCCATTGCCGATGCGGCGGACGCGGCGGCCTCCGCGGCTGCTGACGTGTCAACCGCCGTGGCGGCTGTAGCAGCTGACGCGGCGGCGTCTGGCGGAGACGCAGCGGTTGAGGCGGCTTCCGATGGTGGCTGGTTCGCTGGGCTCGCGAACCTTCTGGAGAGCATTTTGAAGGTGAGAGTGAGCCGTGTAGTCGTTACGGAAACTCACATAAGTCGGTGTTTTTCTCCCTTTTCTTCCAAAAGGGATTTTGAAAGCGCCTTCAGGAGGCACTTCATTATATTTAGCCAGTGGGAGGGTCAGCTCGTGAGGTGATTTGGCATTTTTTCTTGGCGTGCGGATATCTTTGAGAGCTCCCTAATGGTGGCAGATGGAAGTTCGTTTTTGGGAGATTCTGCGTAACTAGTGCAATGGTGACTTTTTTTGGCTACGGCTTTCACAGACTAACAGACAGATAGTGCGATCAGACAGGCCTATTGGTTTCTCGTCGAGTAGCTATGGTTAGTTGCCTCACAATAATGAACGATTTATTAGAGCTTTAGTCAAGGAGGCGTTTCAGCTAGTATCTGCTCCGGGGTCCACAACTGTGTCGTCGGTCCCTCACCAGCATCAATTGCCGGTGTTCCCCTTTCCTTTCGTGGTTCAGTGCTGCGCCAAGGCATAGTGCCAACCAGTGCATGGTTTGTGCTAATGTTGATGTCCGCTGTAACGCTATTTATTTAGTTTTGTCGAAAGGAGAAAATGCACGTACCTCGCTTGTCGATGCTTTCAACTAGCACGCATTGCACTGGAGCCCTGTCCGCTGGCTCTTTTGCAAGGAGAAAATGCCGTGCTTATCTCAGTTCTGAGAATTCCCGAAGTTGTTATCTTGTCCTGCTGGGCTCTATTGATAGAAAGGCCCCTACCTCGGTGGTTGACGCATTTAACGAGCGCGCTCTGCAAGTGAAACGCTGTCCCTCTGCGTCCTGTCGTCCACACGATGCTCACTCACACTTCCTTTACTCCGCGTTCCGCCGCACGTCGTCCGTTTCCGATCAATCCGTAAAACCCTTTACCCCTCCTGGTTCCCTTCACCCTTTGCTTCACCCCTCCTCCCGTCGTGTGTTGCCGCTCATCTCGCAAGGTACTTACGTTTCTCTCTTCCGTGCTGAAGCAAGGGCTGGCGTCGCTGAATGTGCCGTACGCGTACGGATTCTTCACTATCCTGCAAAGCCGGTTCTTTACCCCTCCTCGGTTCCTCTCTGCGTATGTCGTCGCTCATCCCGCGAACTTCCTCCCGCAGGTGTTGGAGCAAGGGCTGGCGGCGCTGAACGTGCCGTACGCGTACGGGTTCTCCATCATCCTGCTCACGCTGCTCGTTAAAGTCGTCACCTTTCCGCTCACCAAGCAACAGGTACACGGTTATCCGCGCTTTGTGCGGAGAAGACGGTTCTTGCACGCATATGTCTTCCTCTAGTTTGCGAACTCATTCCCGCTTTGTCGTTCCTCGTTAAGATATTTGATTTCCTTTTCCTTTTTTTGTCTCTTTCTTCCAGTGTCGTGCAGTGTAGTTCCTCGTGCTAACTGGAAGTTGTTTTTTTTTTAAGCAGAATCTTTGACTTCAATGCCCTATCGCATTTCCCTCTCTCCATTTCCACTCTCTCTCACTCCCTTCCCTCGCACTCGCCTCTCCCTCCCCCCTTCCTGTCGCCTCTCCCTCGCCTCTCTCCCGCTCCTCCGCAGGTCGAGTCAACCATGGCAATGCAGAACCTTGCGCCCAAGGTCAAGGCTATCCAGACCAAATATGCCGGCGATCAGGTGCTCGTCGCGCACCCCCACCCCACCCTCGCCCTCCCCCCACTTCCCTTTCCCTCTTATCTTCCCCCCCCCCCACCCCCCACCCCCTCCGCTTCCTCCCCTCCCCCCCCCCTCCACCCCCCTTTTCCCGCACCCCCCCCTCCCTCTCCCCTCCCTCCCTCCCCCAAACCCACCCTTTCCCCTCCTCTCCTCTCCCTCTGCCTCTCAACACCATTTTGTTGTTCCGTTTATTTAAACAGCAAAATCCATTCGTACTTCCACTCTCCACGTTTTTCCCTCGCATTGCCGTCGTTTTCCAACCTTACCTTACCTTCTCTCATTCCCCCCCCTCCCGTTTTCTTCTCCATTCCCCTCTCCCACCCCCCTCCTTGTTCCCCTCTCCCATTCCTCCATCCCGTTGTTTCCCCGTATCGCTCTGACGCCATCAGGAGCGCATTCAGCTGGAGACATCGCGTCTATACAAGCAGGCTGGCGTCAACCCACTTGCGGGTGAGGATAGTGTTCTCTACAGTCTCTCTCTCTCTCTCTCTCTCTCTCTCTCTCTCTCTCTCTCTCTCTCTCTCTCTCTCTCTCTCTCTCTCTCTCTCTCTCCTCTCTCTCTCCTCTCTCTCTCTCTCTCTCTCTCTCTCTCTCTCTCTCTCTCTCTTTTAATGTGCAAAATGTTACTGGAGAAAAAAAAAAAAACGACATAAAATGCAAGAGACGAGATAAAGCTTGCTGAGATTGTCAGCCCGAAAGCTGTGTTAGCTAACGAAGGTGACCTTTTGTTCACGATTCCTGGCGCTACTGATGAGCACAGCAACCCCTGACGACGACACCAGTGACACCAGTTTGGCAATTAGAGCTCTTAGTTAGACGCGTTGGCTTAAAATTTCCATGCACCATTGTTCTGTAGTCCATATGTAGTTGGTGTTTATTGTCATTCAGTGGGTAAACCACCCTGTTGGTATAACTTTCAAATCTATGTGTTTCCTGGGCTTGTATTTTCACCTTCTCGCGTGTGTTTCCTTACAGGGTGCCTGCCCACGCTAGCCACTCTGCCGGTCTTCATCGGACTGTATCAGGCGCTCAGCAACGTGGCTAAGGAGGTGAGAGAAGAGAATATGACTGTAAAGAAGAGTGTTTGAAGGGCAGGAAAGAGGTATTAGGCTCTCAGCAACGTGGGCATAGAAGTGAGTAGTGATTGTGACTGCAAAGAAAAGGATTTCCAGGGCTACTAGATGTATGAAGTGACTTTTGAGTCGACTCAAAAGTCACCTCAAAAGGATTTCCAGGGCTACTAGATGTATGAGACATAGCTTTGAGAGTAGAGAATGTCATTGCAGGTTGATATAAGGTAACAGATGCTCTATTGCCCCATCCCTCCCTCCCACCACCTCTTCCCCTCCTTAACTACCACAGCCCACCACACCCCACCCCACTTCACTCCCCTCGCCCCTTCTACTTCTCTATCCAACCCCCTCCTCCACCACCTCCTCCTCCTCGCCTTGCTCCAGTCACCTCCCCCAATCTCTCCCCCGAACGCCCCCGTCACAGGGCGTTCACACAGAGTGGTTCGTGTGAATCCCCTCTCTCAGCGGCCCCAAGTCCATACATCTCTCGCTCCGCACCACTTTCCCCCCGCCTCCCACGTGCTCCCCTCTCCTCCCCCATCTAACCCATGCCAGGGCGTGCTTACTGAGGGCATAAAATACCCGCCAGGGCGTGCTCAAAAGTACCCTGAGGGCATTCTCAAAAATACCCTGCAGGGCGTGCTCAAAAATACCCTGAGGGCATTCTCAAAAGTATCCTGCAGGGCGTGCTTACTGAGGGCTTCTTCTGGATTCCCTCTCTTGCCAGCCCCAAGTCCCATGCATCTCTCTCTCCCCACCACCTCGTCCTCCCCTCACACGTGCATGCTCCCCACCCCTCCCCCGTCTACCTCATCACGGGGGGTGCTCACGGATGGCTTCTTTTGTATCCCCTCTCTCAACCTCCCTTGACTCCTATTACCTCCCTCCCACCCTCCCTCTTACCCCACCACCCCATGGCAGGGAGTGCTGACGGAGGGCTTCTTTTGGATCCCTTCTCTTGCCGGCCCCACGTCCATTGCTGCTCGCGACAGCGGCTCTGGCATCTCGTGGCTCTTCCCCTTCATTGTGAGTCAGAGAGGCCACTTAATCTGTAACTTGGTTATCCTCTACTCTATCTCTGAGTTTTGTCACTTAACTCCTCTTGCGAGAATTTTCTATTTGAAGTTTTAAAGTGACACGCGTGCATTTCCCTGTCCACCGTTGTATGATTTGTTTCTTATCATCCTCGCTTTCTCGTTGAATCTTTAGACACTTCGACACTGCGCAAAATATCGAGCTGACTTGTGAGTCAACTCAAAAGTCAGCTGTCTTGTTGAATCCTTAGACAAATTGACACCGTGCAAAATATCAATCCTCAACTCCACCTCACACCACGGGTGTAACCCCCTCAGCACCAAGTCCCACCGCTTGGATGTGAGGCCACAGCGGCCTCCCCAGTGCTGCCATTGCTGCTTTTCCTCTCATGTCTCTCCCTCTCTCTCCCTCTCTCTCCCTCTCTCTCCCTCTCTCTCCCTGCCCCTTCTCTCCCTGCTCTTCGGCTTTCAGGACGGGGCCCCTCCCCTTGGATGGGAGGCCACAGCGGCCTACCTGGTGCTGCCAGTGCTGCTGGTGGCATCGCAGTTCTACGCCATGCAGATCATGCAACCGCCTCAGAGTGATGTGAGTAGGGCAGTGTGAGAGTGCGTGTGTGGTGTGTGAGAGCTAGTTGGTGCTGCTGGTGGCGTCGCAGCTCTACGCCATGCAGATCATGCAACCGCCTCAGAGCGATGTGAGTGGTTGGAGTCTGTCTGTTGGTGAGAGTGTGAGCGTGACAGTGCGCAACACAGTCTGACTGTCAATCAGTTCTATGCCATGCAGATTATGCAACCGCCCCAGAGCGATGTGAGTAGTTTGAGTGTGGTTTGTGTGATTATTTCAGTGACTCAGTGTGTGTCGGCGTCTGGTACGAGTGTGGGTTAGCGTCTGGTGTGTTCCAGTGCTACTGATGGCGTCGCAGTTCTATGCCATGCAGATCATGCAGCCGCCTCAGAGCGATGTGAGTGTGATGCGATGTGAGTGTGGTGTGTGTGCATGTTACGGCGTGTACGTTGCATTGCATTGGCAGGCGTGGCTCCACTCTTCAAGCTTTTTCCTCCTCGTGTGCTCACAGTCATTCCTTCAGGAGGGCTTTTTTCTCTCCTTCTGCCTGCCCTCTTCCACTCCCACTCCCTCCCTCCCCTCACCAGGGCCAAGCACAGGTAGAGTAGAATGTACGACTGATCTTCCCTTCCCCCATAGGTCCTTCCACTCATGTTTGTGCTCTAACTCACTCACTCTCCCGCATCTCCTGCCGTCTGTCCTCTCACACTCCCCACCCCTCCCGCCTCTCACCAACCAGGATCCAGCACAGAAGAACACACAAGCGATTCTCAAGTTCCTGCCGCTCATGATTGGCTGGTTCTCCCTCTCCGTGCCCTCGGGACTCTCCCTTTACTGGTAACTTCACCATCTACTGTGTAGGGTTACCACCACGTCTCTCCCTCTACTCTTTTGTCACCATGAATCACGTAATTTTACCTTCATATCTCTCCCTCTCCTGTTTACTATCAACTGTGTAGGGTTACCACCATAACTCTCGGTCTTTGCCCCATCCGTCCGTCCATAACTTTCCCTTGTGTAGAAAAAACTCTGTCCATCCGTCCATCTGCTGGAAAAAAATATTTCCATGCTAGTGTTGTTGGTGGCTAGCCTGTCAACTCACTCACAAGCCTCTTCCCCCTCAATCCCCACCCAGACCTTGTACCTGTGCAAGATGGCATTGGCATGCCAACTCTTGTGCAACTCATGCCAGCGTTGGCTTCACGCTCAACTCACTCCGCTCCTACTGCCTCCCCACCCTCCTCCTCCCCCATTTCCCTCCCCCCCGCCCCCCCCAGTCAACTTACATCTCTCCCTCCCCATTTTCCAACCCCTCACCCACCCCCCTTCTCCCCCCTTTTCTCCGCTCCCCTTCCCCTCCCCCCCATTTTTCCTTTCCAGGTTCACCAACAACCTGCTGAGCACGGGCCAGACCATCTATCTGCGCAAGATGGGTGCTGCCATGCCGGCGGCCTGACACTCAACTCTCTCCACCCATCCCTCCTCCCCACCCTCCTTCCCCCAATCCGTACCCCCTCGCGCACTCCCCCCCCCCCGCAGGTTCACAAACAACCTGCTGAGCACGGGCCAGACCATCTATCTGCGCAAGATGGGTGCTGCCATGCCGGCGGCCTGACACTCAACTCTCTCCACCCATCCCTCCTCCCCACCCTCCTTTCCCCATCCCTACCCCCCCCCCCCCCCCCCCCCCCCCCCCCCCCCCCCCCCCCCCCCCCCTCTCCCCGCAGGTTCACAAACAACCTGCTGAGCACGGGCCAGACCATCTATCTGCGCAAGATGGGTGCTGCCATGCCGGCGGCCTGACACTCAACTCTCTCCACCCATCCCTCCTCCCCACCCTCCTTTCCCCAATCCCTACCCCCTCGCGCACTTCCCCCCCCCCCCCCCCCCCCCCCCCCCCCCCCCCCCCGCCCCCCGCCCCCCCCCGCAGGTTCACCAACAACCTGCTGAGCACGGGGCAGACCATCTACCTGCGCAAGATGGGTGGCGCCACGCCCAAGGTGGCAGCTGGGGGAGGCGACATCATCGACGTGGGGCAGGCCAAGCGCTCTGCCGCCTCTGCCGTCGCCACACAACAGGACAAGGAGAAGCTGCGTGGTGAACAGTTCCGCAAGCAGAAGGAGGCCGATGCCGCCCGCCGGGCGGCCAAGCGGGCGGCGGAGGAGGCGGCGCGGGTGGCGGAGGAGAAGGCGACACGGGAGAAGGCCCGGCTGGAGCAGCTGAGGGCGGAGATCTCGGGAGAGGGGGAGGAGGTGGTGGTGGTGGAGGCTGAGGTAAGCTGCTGTTTTGGGCATCTTATTGAAATATTGAGGTGTCTTTTTAGTCGACTCAGAGTCACCTCTGTTATGGACGGTCCTTCACGACCGCGTGCACAGGTGGGGAGGAGGAGGTGGCAGTGGTGGAGGCCGAGGTGAGTTGCTGTAGTGGGCTTTGGGTGAGCCTGAGAAGGTGTTCCTGTGAAGTGTGCTTGCGTACAGTTGTATATTCCTTTACACTGCGGTCCTCCCGGTACAGGTGTTTGCCTGACATGTGTCGGATGACTCGAGATGGTGTTGCCTGTTGGGGGAACCTCGGTCATCTCCTCCTGCTCCCCTCTCGCTTCTGCAATACTTCACACCCTTCCCTGCACACTTCATCCCCTTCCTCTGCAGGTGGTTCCTGTGGCTGGGCAGAACGGAGCAGCAGCCGAGGAGTCCAAGCCAGTAGTGCCAGCGACACCCAAGGCTGCAGTGGCGCCATCATCAGGAACACCAAAGCGCAGCCGTCGATCTCGTAGGACCCGGAAGGCGACCCCTCAGTAGAGTTTACTTGTGTAGGTTTTCGTTTTTGTTAGCTGATGTGGTTTATTAGTATAAAATCGATTGATGTGTGCTTGATTTGGCTTACTGGAATTTTTGTATGGGAATGTTTGTGGTATACTGATTTGTTAATGCCCATATGGAGTAGAAATGTTCTACGTTCAATTTTGTTATTTTTGTTTTTGTTATTTTTTCACGCTAGAATTATGTGAGATACGCTTAGTGCTTCTGAATAGGGAGGGAGGATTGCTGTGAGCGCTGTTGCGGCCAACCTATAATGGTGGTTGAAGTGTGGAAGAACAGCTACTTCGGTAGTCAGGTGGAATAAGGTTCCCTCCAAACCTCGGCGCCTTCTGGTCTGGGTTGCTCCCGCGAGCTGCGGCCCTCCCCGCTGTGAGGATGAAATCGCGTTATCGCTGCGGGACCAACGGTCCCACGCTGGCGCCAAACCTGATCCCCCAAACAGCGCGTACCTGGCGTGTGGTTCGGCTGCTGTACGAGACCTCATCGCCTGGTTCGCTAAGTAGGTTCGGATATGAGCCACCTGACAACAGCAGCAGTTGTGGCTTCACCAATCACCAACAACCTAACTTGTTCACGCGTTCCTTGTTCCATTCCACAAACCAAACCATGCATCATGAACAGCTCGTAGAGAATGGTCCCCTTCGATGGATGGTTATTATGAAACTCATGTACAGTTCCACCACGCCTTGAACTCATCAGACCACGCCTTGGTCCAAACCTACATCACAGGCTATGATCCGCGTGTTTGCCGTGTGTGGCACCCCTGGAACACCATACTAGCTCAACACACATACGATCACTGAACCGTGAAATATTTTTTTGTACCGTACTGACTCATGGTCAACCGAACGAGAAAACATGGCCACAGAACCCGAACCTCTCTGTCACATTGGCCATGCCCTAACCGACCAACAATTCTGGTCCGGCTCCTCGATGGTTCACCAATCACTCGAGTCTGCCCCTCACCCCCCTTGCCCCCATTACAGCCATGCTCGAAAAAGTCAGCCATGGCCTCGCCGCATCCCCCGCAGGCATGCAACCATCCAACCAACCCATGCTCGCTCAACTCTACCCCTCGCATTCGCAAATTATCTCGTTGCAACCTCGAACTCGCAACCTCGAAGATTTTCCTTCCAGCTGTGCTCAGGCTGCGTCCCTCGTCTTGGCCTTGGGTGCGTCATAATACTTATCCTCCGCTCCAACCTCGTTTCTGAAAAGCTCTTCCATTTGCCTTCCTCCCTGCTCATTGACGCCTCTTGCGCTGGCTCGTTTCCTGAGATGGCGGCCGCTGCTCTCTACTCTCTGGCTGTGTTCGCCACGGTCGTCGTTCACGAG